GAGGAAAAAAGGTAGCACATAAATGTAATCATAAATAAACAAAAGATCAAACTGCATGTCCTATGGATTTATTTTTTCAGCCGAGGACTTTTCTCTTAATGTCTGGTTTGGAGTTAAAATGCTGAACTAGAAGTGGGAGTAAAATCCCATCCAGCTGAGCCAGCATAAGACAGTGATGTATGTGAATGGGGAGAGGAAAGAAGCTCAGTGACCAAAGGAAATGACTCCATCCGAGATATAATATACCTATTACAACCTTTGAGGCCTTGCTTAAGACCTTTTAAGTGCCATTAGTCCTTCAATGGCTTTCTTTAGTAAACATTTGCCGTGGAGAAGTATTGAATTCCAGCTGTTTGCAGCTGTAAATCCTCCTATGCCTAATATTTACACAGTGGGGAGTGGGTAGAGGCTGTGCTCTCTGCTTGCTGTATTCTACCCACCACATTCCTCCTTCTGTTCCATGCCCCCACCTCCACAACCACTCATGAAAGAAATATCCCAAAACAACTCGCTCTGGTGTGTGTGTGTGTTGGGGGGGTTGTTGCACTTGAATCATTTAGTCTTATGACACCACAAAACTGCCATTCTCAGCAAAGCTATGTAAGGCCAGCCCAACTAAGGGAGTGGGAAGCAATCTGTAAAGTTGTGTCATCCACTTCTTGGCATCTGGATGTTTAAAAAATTGGCAGTACAGGGCTGGGCCAGGCGCGTGGGTAGCATGTGAATGATGAGGCTTTCTGTCACTGAGCCAGAAACCATTGAAACCATTGGTACAAACACACACACACACACACAGAGTTCCAGTGGATGCTTAAGCCATTCTTGTTATGATTCTGTCTTTCCTGCTTGCTATATTTCAAACAGGCAAATGGGGTGGGATTCATTCAGTTGGCTTAATACTATCTCCCCCAGTGTGGGGAAGAGTAAATACCTGAATGCACCTGCACAAGCCTGCTGCTACCTGTTGTCTTCCAATTAAGTTGCATTATTCTCGGAGAATTCCCATGGGGCACTTTAGAGATGAGGAAAATGGAGCGGAGTTTCAGAGAAGCTCCTGATTTGGTTTTCTAATGGTATTTATCTACTCCAGTGAGGTTTTCCATACCTCCCCAAGGATTTTGGAAGAGGGATGAAGGTGTCCTATTTATTTGCTGATGCTGTTGTTGAATCAGAGGTCCAGTCTGTTAATGCTCACATGCAATTGCAGGTGGCATGTATAATTGATCTGTGCGTTCTTAACAGGAGCTGGTCAGGTTTCCTACTTCACAGAGCAAAGCTCTCTGCTTGGACAGCTAGCAGAGAAAAGCCCTCTTCTTGAAGGTATCTATTCAAAAGACATCTTGCCCAATTCCAGTTTAAAGTCAAAGAACTGTTAAAAATGGATTGCTGGGTCTCTGAAATTGCCCATTTGCAACACCTGCCTCAATCACCTCCACTATGGCGAGATGTCTTGAATCTTATTTAAATAATAGCCATTCTTTCTCAGTTTGCACCTATGCATATAAATGAACAGATGCATAAATTATGCAAACATGTGTCTTCCTTCATCCTCTCTTTTTTATTGTTGGCAATGCTTTTCCTCATTTTTCATGGTGCTTGATGATGGGTACATGGCCACACTAGTTCAGAATGGCTGATTTAGGGTTGCTCAGCAGGTCTGGGGACATTTCAGCTATCTGTTTTGGGGTCCTGTCTTCACATTGTTTGAGAAACTAGTAAGACAAAAGGATGCCTACCATCAGATGCAGAATATATACTGAGAAACGCACAGCATCCTCAACCCCACAATTGGAAAGGTGGCCAGGGGAGAGCAGAAGGTAGTGCTTCAGCATGGTTCTGTCCAAGCACTGATCCTTTTAGCAGTTTACCATAATTAGGATCTGTTTAATCAAAAATCCCTAATAGCATTCCAGAATTCATACTGAGGCGTTTGCACTCAGGGGTTCCTTTCCCCACCTTCTGCTTAGGAATAGTCTTTGCAAAATGTTGCACAGCTCTTTGGTTCATTCCAGCATGACTCTTTCCCTTTTGTTCTTCTGAGAAGAAATTGATGAAATTACCAGCAAAGAGAAGGCAACTTCTCTGAGGTTGGGGTCGAACTTGAGCAGCAACTTTTATTCACTTCACACAATGTCTTCTCCTGTCTGGAAGCATTTTATTTCCCTAGCACATACCATGCTATGGGGTAAAGTCAGAATCCCTACTCTCTCTCCCATCCTGAGATAGCAATTAAAGAGACAATCTTAGTCATGTTTAAAAAGAACAGTGCAGCATTCATCAGCCCATTAAATTAGATTATCTGTACAGAACAATGGTGCAATTTTAAGCCCTGGACTTCATAATCATATTGAAAGAGGGTATAGACATCTCTCGGTATTGCTTCACTTGTGAAGCAAATATACAGCGTTTCTCTTTTTCTTCTTTGTTATATGTTAGAATAATAGAAGAGCAAATCCACTGCTGACTTGAAACCAAAGCTAAATTTAAGCAGATGTTGATTGCAGTCCTAGGCCATGGCCTGCTGGCCAGGGAGGAAAAGGAAGATTACTAGTGGGAACAGAGATGAGCCATTGCTTATTTGTTGCAGAATGCATTGCTTGGTGTACAATGTAACACCTGCAAGTGATTCATTCCATCTGCAAATCTCCCTTTGGAAGTGGGATCTAAACTGTAGACCTGATGGCTACAACACTGGGCCAAGATTTTTAATATTTATGTCTTCTTCCCCATTCCCTGCTTTAGGAATCACCTGGACTGGTCGAAAGTTCTGGAGAATACTACGGAGGAATATTATGTGGGCCTACTGCAGTTGTTTTGGGGGGATTTTTCTTCTGATGAACAGGATAGCTATCTTAATGGAATACTATGAGCATAGGAGGTTGGGTTAGCCAAACTGTTAACCCAGTCTATCCCAGTACCCTCCATTCCAACTTGAAAGAAGTTCTGAGGATGTAAAAATGCCCATGCTGGATCTGTTTACATAGTGGCCAACCAGCTGCCCACAGGAAACCCACAAGCAGGACATGGCAGCCTCCTTGGTTCGGTCCAATTCCCCAGCACCTGGAATACCTAGGTCTACTGCTTTTGCTACTGGACCAAGGCCGTCTTAACGCATGGGCCTGATGGGCACTTGCCCGTGGGCCCCATACTAATCTGCGTATGTTAACCCTTGGAAAATTGGAAAACTTCCAAAATTAACAGTAGCTGTAGTTGTCGTAGGGGCCCCAGTACACTGCTTTGCCCAGGGCCCATCATGCTGTTAAGACGGCCCTGTACTGGACCCATCATGTAGCCATCAGGACCAGTAGCCATGGTAGCCTTCCTTTGGCTTGAGGTCTTCCAGATATGTTGGCTTACACCTCCCATCACCGTCATACAGAAAGACATATTGCTGGCCAGGATGTTGTGAGCTGTAGTCTAACAAGATGGGAGGGCACCAGTTTGAGAAGCCTGCTCTCGAAGGTCTTTTCTAGCTCTGGTAGCCCAGACAGTTTGATTGGCCTGGGGATGTCTGGCTGGCTCTCTATTCTGTTGGGAAAATTCTCTAAGACACAAGGTCAAACATGTGGGAAGGCTTGCTCCTCAGTGTCTGTCTTAAACCCTCAGAGGGCTTCTTCATAAGACTTTCCACGGGATTCCCACCATTTAGTTAGCATAATTACATCTCTTCATAGCTTTTGACTTTCCTGTATGTGTGAGACTTGCTGTGGATTTGTTCATCTGGAAGCCATTCAATGGCTCTAACTTCCCCAGAGCATCCATGCCAGACTGTGAATTTAGAGAGGTTGAAGAGAAATGATAATTAACACCTTAATTATTGCATGGTCCTGCACAAAACTTTTTTTCTGCATAGGAATTTGTAATATGAGATGTGATCCTGTGTGTGAGTTCTGGAGGATTTGGATGTGGTCATCTAACCAATCCATCTCCCAGTATTGTAAACATGTGTGCTTCCAGATTTCTGACCATCCCTGCAATTAATGCACTCAATTTTAGAACTAGTATGGGTTGTAAGAAAGTCCATTCATGTTTTGGAGGAGTTCATGTCTGTATGTGGGAAAAAAGAGGGGGTTAGAAAGGAATCTTTCCCCAGGACCTTTTCCTGAACTCCAGTCAAATGTTTTGTGATGCTTTCAGATGCAAGACTTCTAGCAATATCAGTCAGTGCAAAGGAAGCATGAGGGAAACAGGGGAGGCTTACAAATGTAGCCCCTTCCCCTAGTCAAATTCTATGAATGAGGCTGTGTGATTGCACAATAAAAAATATGGCCAATAGAGCCGTCCTATGCATGCTTTCTTGAAGGTAAGCCCTAGTCAGTCAGCAACATTCCCAAGTTGATTACCTATGATTGCAGCCCAAAGCAGGAAAATTGTGGACCGAGGGTGACAGCTGATAAGTCACTGTAGCAAATGCTGTAGATGTTTGTACTGTAAAGACTGGACATTTCTTGCATTGTAAACTTTTACAGACTACAGCCTGTTCATCAGTTGCTTCTCAGGTTATGTGGCACCTTAAAGATGAACACATTTAATCTGGCATTAAGTGTCCATGGTTACTGCCCACTCCATCAGGTGCATGATGCACAAGGTATGAATTTCTTAGACAGAACATATATGCCAACTTCCATATATGGGGTTGGCAGGGCAGCAGGAAAAGAGACTGAGCCCAAGCTCAGCATGGATAGATGTATTGCACGTGGGAAGCTGCACCTGTAAGAACATGTGCATCACCCACGTGGTGATTTGCTTTGTATGCATATGTTGCACCCCTAAGGCAGCCCCGTCATGGGGCGTCTGTGTGAGATTGAGAGAGAGAGAGAGCAAGGAAGAGCGTCTGCACACAAACCCCAAACCCTTCTTATCCTCCTTTGCCTCTCCGTCCAAGTTGCAGCCCTTAAGAGAAGTTCCCGAGCATGTCCTTCTGCCACCTCCAGGTTTTGGCGTCCGCCTGGTCAACTCCACAGATCATTAACAACAGTTGCGAGAAAGAAGACACTCACCATCTCTCCGCAGGTTCGAGGCCCGCAAGGCTCGGATAGATCCGCTCTGGGTGCCAGCGGAGGAGCCCTGTCGGTGGCAAAAGCTGGCGCCGATTGCGGCGTAAAGGAGGAAGGGCGCAAGGAGCTGCATCGGAACGCTCGGCGCTGCTGGGAACAAGAAGAACTTTCTTCCCGGTGGAAGAGCTTCTCGTCCGCGGCGCCCGCGCCCGCAGAGGTCTCTTGTCTCTCGCCCCTTCCCCGAGCTACTCTGCCAGTGATGCTGTCCAGCGGGGAAGGACTTTGCAATCGTGGCCGGGCCGGCTGCCGGCTGCGGAGATGAAGAGCCAGCCGGGACCTCTCTTGGCCAAGTTACAGTGAGCCGGCAAGGGACAGGTTGCCTCCGCCACCTCTCCTGCAGCTCCGGAAAGAAAAGTGATTCGCGAAGTGTGGGGAGCGGGCTCCTCCACACACAGACGCCGCGGGGTGGGGTGCGTGGGGGGGCTTGGCAGGCGGGAGGCTGCAACGCCCCCTCACCGCCCACTGTTGCTCGGATGGGTCGCCCGCTCTGCAGCGCTGCACGAGACTTTCCCAGGACTTTTCTTTTCTTTCCACGGGAGGGAGCGGGGGGGGGGGGGGCCTGGCGGGCCCCCGGGTTTGGGGGGGGTCGGGGGCGGCGCGGGGTGTCTCTCGGCCCCCGGGGGCGCCCGTGCATCGCGGCGAGGGGCAGGCGGCGCGCGGCGAGGGGGCCGGAGCGGGCGCGGGAGGTTGCGGCTCGCTCCCGTTCCCTCCTTGCCATTCGGAAGGAAAGCGCGCCGGCGACGGCTGAGCGGAGAGGAAGGAGGCGGCGGCGAAGGCGCCTCTGGCCACGGGGCAAGGAGGCAGGGACGGCAGGAGAGAAGGCGCCAGGGGCGGCGCTCAGTTCCCCAAGGGGCTGGCGCGCAGGTCCGCAAGGGCCTGGCTCTGTGCGGCTGCAGACATGGGCATCTTTCTCGTCTTTCTCAGTGCGCGTGCCTTTCAAGCGCCCAGTCTCCTGTGGACCCCCACTTTGCAAAGCGGGGTTGGGATTTAATTTCGGGTGAGGACCTCAGGCAACTGGGGGGCAAGTGCCTATGGAGACTGAGGCGGTGGGGCAGTGGGTCGGAGGGGCTCCCAGAGGTTCTGGGCCCCAGATGAAAGATTCAGAACTGCAGCCCAAGTGGGTTGGCTCCTCAAACTGTCTCTGGCCAGAATCAAGAGCAGTGCCCCTGCTCGAGATGCAGTCTGCCAGGTGGGCCCCTGAGGGTCGGAGCTGGTGGGGAAGGATGGGGCAGACAGGGCCAGCGTTGGAGGTGGGATGGAGGACCCGCCCCTGAATGCAGCCCACCGGCACCCACCTTGGATGAAGCCACTGCCACCAGCGTCACTGGTGGGAGAGGCCTCGGGGCTTGGGGCACCCCCTGGCTTTACTGCTGCAGGGGTGGGGGCCTTCTTTCTCCCCCACCTTCCCTTCCTGGCTAAAGTGAGCAAAACAGGAGCAGCTCCAAGGAGAAACCACGTGCCTGCATGGGCTTGATCCTTCCTCCCTCTGGAGCAGCCTTCCCCAAGCAGGAGCCCCCTAGATCTGTTGGACTTCAACTCCCAGCATGCTCCCACCAGCTGAGTGCCTTCTCATAAGAATGCCCCTGGTTGTAAAACTGGATGTCTGGACAGGAAGAGGGAAGGAGGCCATAGGATTTCAGGGGAAGGTAAAACCCTCAGGCAGAAAGATTGGGGAGCGGGTCAGAAGGCAAAGGGCCAACTGGCCCGGGAGGATCAGTATCAGATCCAGCAGAGATAAACAGGGCCCCTATGCCTTTATTTTGTCCAACGCCCATAAGACAGTAGGATGTTGGGGTGGATGGCCTCCAGAGACTGGGGCTCCAAATGGAAGATGCAGGGTTCTAGCCCCAGCAGGCCACCCACTGGCACCATCTCTGGGCTCTGCTTCTTCACCTCCTTCTGGGCAGCATGATTGGGAAGCTAATCAACCCCCAGGAGAAGCCAAGGAGGTAGAGGAGAAGCCTGCTAGTAGATTTTAGTCTCACTCCATTGGATGAGTCCCTCTGCTTCACCTCCAGTTAGCACCAGGGCATCTGACTGCCAACCATCACCACAAGCTGCTCCTCAGGCTGGGCAGGTGAAAGGGAAGGGGCTGCAGAAGGGAAGCTAGCTAAGATGGCAAGGAGTGGCCACTGGTATAGCCCAGATCATATCCAGAGTGAGAGAGAGAAAGAGGCCTTTCCAGTCAAGACTTTAACAAACGAGCCACCACGGTTCAGGCACCTCCATTTCTCAGCTGATCCAGCACCACTTGTTGCCACCTGCCTGTGTTTTCCCAGCAATTCCCAGCAATAATTATTTTATTTGATACAGGAAATCTATTAGGGAGGGAAGGGCAGGACAGTTGTACCTTCTCTTGAAGGTGTGGACAATAAAATGCAGAATGAGAACAGGGTAGGAGGCCTTGTCCCCAGAGAACATGGATGACGTGTTGGAGGGAACCCTCCTTTCCTGATGGCCTGCCCTGCGTTTCCTGCTGTAGAGCTCAGTTTTGCAGCTCCTTCCAGCTTTTCAGAACAGCATTTGCAGCCACATAATGAAATGCGTCTTTCCCTGCTTTACTCCCAGAATGCACATGTTTAGCATCAGAACCACAATCACTTGCTTAATTTTGTAGCTCACTTTGGTTTTTAAAATGTTTGTTAGTGGTATGACTAAGATAAATAAAAATTTGAAAGTTCGAAATTGTCTGGGGCATCTTTACAATGGTGGTGGCAGAGTGGCAGATGATAGCAGAGAGGACTTGCTTGTACATAGTGCTGCTGTATTTATTTTATTTATAATTTTTGTATGCCATCCCCTTGCTATATAGCCTCGGGATGGCTCACATAAATAAATAAGCATAATACAAATACAATTAAAACCCGGAATTGTACTGCCTAGATGGAGTAGAAGGGATCTGCTTAGGCCTTGAAAAAGGAAACTAGTGTAATCTCCTCGGAGCAGTTGCTTCACTATTTTTTTTTTCCTTTGAAGCTTTACTCCTGAATGCTGGGAATGAAAGGGACAGATATTCTTGGCATGATTTCCAAGGTCAGGCAAATTTGGGCTAGTCACATGAGGCGGGGGGGGGGGGGTCCCTGGGAACCAGAATTGTTAGCCATTGAAATGGAAGAAGCAGAAGGGCTTATCTCCAGGACACCCTCCCCAGGTGTTGAGCAGATGTTGAGAGTAGTCGGAATTTGCAATTGCAGGGAGGGGGTGTAAGAGATGAACTCCTACGAATGTGCTCCCCAGAGAAGTCCACCTGGCGCCGTCATTTGTTTTTCGGCGCCAGGTGAAGACCTTTTTATTTAAACGTCATTTTAATTGTTAACAATATTTGCTTATTTATCTGGCCAGGGCGACTTCTTTTATATTTTTTTATTTATTTTATATTGTTAATTTTAATTTTATATTGTTATTTTTGTATTTTATTGTATTTTATTGTGTTGTAAGCCGCCCCGAGGCTTCGGCAAGGGGCGGCATAGAAATGTTTTAATAAATAAAATAAAATAAATACAACCAGCTGAGTCTGGTATGACTGAACTCCACGACGTGATGTTGGGAGATGCCTAGAGGAGTGGTGGACTGAGTAGAGGCTTGCCTGTCTCCCAAAGGGCCCTCCCAGAGGGAGGAGTCCCAAGGGTACTCCAAAGGAGTGTTCTCGGAAATAGTTGCTAAACAGGATTCAACAAGCCCCTCTATGTATTCCTGGTTGTGCTGGCTGGAATTGCCTTGGAGGATAAAGAGCCTTTGGCAAAGAACGGTCTGTTGTTTTAGACAGGTGAAATGGGAAACCTAGCTCATAACACTGAACACAATACTGAGATTGCCTACTCTGTAGTCCTTCCTTCCTTTTCTAAATCAATATAAATGCATATTAGAGACATTCCATAAGCAAAGACTTGCACAAGGGGTACAAATTAAAATAGGATTGTGTGAGACTCTTTTGTGGTAGTGATGGTGGGATGCTGAGGGATTTTTTTCCAGGCAGGGAGAAGGATGCCTTCTCAGCAGCCCTCCAGAAAGTTTTCCTGCAGCAGTGTTTGTTGGAAATCCAAGCAGCAAGTTAAATCTTTCTCAGTTTAGGAATTCTAAAATATCACACATCTGGGACTTTTTGTATTTGCTTGTTTAAAGAAAAGAGGCATATTTAGGCAACTTACACCAGAATGCATGCCCAGAATGACTCGTAGAAACAGAATAGCTGAGTTGGAAGGGGCCTAAAAGGCCATCAAGTCCAACCCCCTGCTAGTGCAGGACATCACCTTACACCATCCCACTAAGTTAACTGTTTAATTGCTTCTTGATTGCCTCTAGTGTGGAAGAGCACACAACCTCTCTTGGCAGCTGGCTCCACTGTTGTATTACGATTACAGTTAGGAAATTCTTCCTTGTGTCTAGCTTGCACCCAGTGTACTGTTCATACTAGACCTTTGCTCCTTGGCTTATAAAAGTTAGCAGAAAGGGAACAAGTGGCTGGGCCAGGGAAGTAATTAATACCTCCTCATGATCCCATGTCATTGAAAGAGGCACTGGGGAGGCCAGTTCTGAAGAAGTCCTCTCTGGATCTGAAAGATCTTAATTTTAGGTGGTGACAAATGTTCCTTTCATGGTGAAGATTACTGAGCAGGTGATGCTCATCCAACTCCAGATGCTCTCAGATAAGATTGGTTATCTTGATCCATTTCAGTTGGGTTTTGGCACAGAAACAGCTTTGGTTGCCCTGTATGATGATCTATCTTGGTAGGTAGATGGGAGAGTGTGACCCTGTTGGTACTCTTGGATCTCTCAGTGGCATTCAATACCATTGGCCATGATAATCTTCTGGGACTACTCTTCGGGAGTACTGAATTACAGTGACTCCATACCTACTCCCTGGTCAGGGCCACAAGATGTTTCCTTGGGAATATTTTCATTCATTCTTTTTTTGATTTATATCCTACCTTTTTCCTACAAAGGGCTCAAGGCAACTTACATCTCCTCCATCTCTTCCCCACAACAACAACCCTGTGAGGTAGGTTGGGCTGAGAGTCTGTGACTGGCCCAAAGTCACCCAGTTGGCTCCATGGCTGAGCGGGGACTAGAACCCAGATCGTCTGAGTCCCAGTCCCATGCTCTTAACCACTACACCACACTGACTCTGAGCCAATATTGCACAATTCTGTAGATACTCCAACATGGGGTTCCTCAATGACTGGTCCTATCTTTAACATGCTTTTGAACATCTACATGATGCTTGACATGTACGTGATCCTGAGGTTTGGACTGCTCTGCTATTAGTACACTGATGACACGCAGTTCCATTTCTCCTTCTGATTCAGATTAGGTGAGGCTGTAGAAGTGCTAAACAGCTGCCTGGCTGCAACAGTAGGACTGGATGAGGGCTAACAAACCAAAGCTCATTCTGGA